GACCCTCAGTCATGAGGTTACGAGGAAGAAGAAGAAGAAGAATTTGGGACATTGACGATCTCTCTAACTTGTTGTGTACATATTCATTGGATAAAACCAATATCTATCAAATATCTCGTCATACAGCTATTCTTTTACTTTTATGCTCAGGACGTCGTATCCACGATTTGACCTTACTAAGAGTGGACCCTGACCACTGCATCGAATCCGAAGATACTTTAATATTATGGCCTGCTTTCGGTTCAAAAACTGATAATAGTAACCATGTGCAATCAGGTTGGAAATTACTAACAAATAAAGACAATATGCGGTTGAACCCAGTTCTTTGGATTAATACTACGATATCACTACTGAAAAATCGACGAAAAACAGCTAAATCCAGTAATTTGTTCGTAACTTTTAGGGGTCCAGCAAAACCTGCTTCTCGAACTGTTATAGCAGGTTGTATAAAGCACCTGTTCAAAGATCCTTGAATATACAGTTTAGCCCGGGTAGTGTTAGGTCAGCAGTGGCCTCAAAAAATTGGCTAACTTATCCTTTGGATGAAATTCTAGCTCGTGCTAACTGGCGTTCCACAAACACATTTCAAAAATATTACAGACGTGCAATACGTTCAGGTAGACAGTCAAATAATGTTACCAATTTATTTACCCCTGTGATTTAAGACAATCATATGTTATATTACAAATTTCATTCACCTGATGATTAAAATACAGAAATGCTGAAGTAAATGATTAAAATGACTGTCGTTACTTATTGTTCATATTATTTTGTTCTTTAATAAAGCATTAAAAGTATTATCCATCTTTATTAGAAAAAATATATTTCCGTGTACCCAGAAGGCAAGAGAGAACAAATCGTAGAAAAGCATTATTCTTTATCAAGCCAAGTAAAACTCATTACGGTAGCAATAGTTTTATAAAAAGAGCTTGCTCACTTTTCAATGAGCGTTTTATAAATACTGATATCTTTGAGACATCCAAACATAAGTTTAGAAGGAGTATTGCTGAACTCATATAAGGCTGAAGCTTGTAAGATAAGTAAGTGTTACTTTGTGGACATTTGCTTAATAAATGCCTTGCTGCTTATTATATATATATATATATATATGTGTATATATATATATATGTATGTACTTTCATTTCTTATGTGTAGTTGCTTTTAGTTTAAATGTGAATTTTGCTATTTATATTGCTGACCAATGTTACGGGCTCAATTATTATTTGAATTAGTTAAGGAAACTATAGGTCTAGAAACCAATAATATTTATGTATCAATTGTAAACATATGTGACTGTTTGTTTCTTATAAATAAAAAAAAAAAAAAAAAAAAAAAAAAGAAATTATCACATTGGCGTTATGTTTATCAATACCCTTTTATTGACTCACCAGGCGATAACAAACAGATCTCAATTATAAGCTTCGAATAGCGGTCAAGTACTTTTAATAGCAGCGTTTTTCCTGAAATAAAAACGCATATTAAAATACTTCGAAGCTTACTTTTTAACTCTGTCTGGTTACTAAAAAGCCAATGAACAAGGTGGCGCGTTTTAACTTACAAGAAATCTAAGATGGCACCACTGCCCATCGAGTCATCGGAAGTTCGTCAACCGGAAGTGAAAAAGAGGATAAAAATGATTAAAACTACGGGAAACGGAAATGCCTATCTCAATTATAAGCTTCGAATAAGGTAAGTATTTTAATATGCGTTTTTATTTTAGGAAAAACGCTGCTAATATAGTTCAATATTATATTTATAATGCAAAGTGAAAATTTCAAAGTGTATAAAGGACAGCAACTATTTTATACAGAACCTTATTAACACGTAACTAGTCCAGTGTACAAAAACCATTACACATTTTATTTATTTTTATTTATTTAATTATAGACCAAAATCCACAGCATTTTCTTAATATAATTCAGGTTTTACAATATAGTTTATCTTAATGCCAATTACGGATTTTCATTTTTAGTTATAGCATAATAGTTCACATCTGTCGATCTGGCCTACTTACCTTATGTTAAAGGAGTAACAGAAAAGATCGGAAAGAATTTACGTGGGTACTCCATACTGACAATTTATATTCCTAGCTAAGTCAGTAACATTTTGGGCACTAATCAAAGGATGTCTTGCCCATACAAACGTTTGCAAAATAGACTGTAGTTGTTATAGCTCCCACATAGACCAAATAAAAATAACTATAAATAAAAGGGTCAAAGAATACATTGCAGCTGTGAAAAGCCTGTGACTTGAAATAGTAGCAAATCACGGGATCTAATTTTACCGTAAGCAGGTCATTTCCACCGATCACCACTTTTCTTCTAGAGTGGTGTGTGAAGCGGTTGAAATCTGGAAAACTTCTCATCATCATCTTGGAATCTAGTATTGGCAAAAACGCAATTACCTTTTTTTTGCAGGCGGCTAAACTCTGTATAAGTGGTCACCTTTGATTATTTATTTGTGTCTTAGCGTACAGGACACGGGAGTGTGTTTGTGCTGTGACGCTTAAAACGTTTGCGATTTTCTCAGAAAAACCGACATACGAATTAAAAAAGAGATCTGAATATCTTTTATTAGTTATTGTCAGCACTATTAGCACTAGAGAGCAGTTTTTTGTGGAGATAAGTATATCGATCACGCCGACAAAATGGTAGAATAAAATATTGAAAAATACTTTAGGGTAGCTCTACTACATATAACCTGGGGATGATTATTTTTTCATCATCTACCCCTTCGTGTGGGATATTGTTGAATAGGTCCTTTAAAATTACTTAGGGGTTCATGAGACTAGTTTTCGATTTAAAATTTAAGAAAATTTCTTACCTTTTAAAAACTCCTTAGAATAAAATATTAGTAGTGACATAGATGAAGTTATTATAGCGTAAACCTTGTAATGCAACAAATTCTAAAAAAAAAAACTAAAACCACAATAAAATATCATTAGTTCCACAACGCTACCGCGAGTACCAACAGCAACGGCTTCTGAGTCGCGCTAACGTTAAGTTATTACAAACTTGAAAAGATCGGCGGTTATACCGCATCATCCCCTTCTCAGGGGATGATCGCTTTAGATGAAACTTGTAAGGCACTTCTCGCCATAAACATGAACTACAGGTGTGTTTTAGTCAGTAAGAGTCTGACATATCCTCGAGGATTTGACAGCCGCTCCCCCGCCCGGGAGGAACCAAAACAATGGGCGGTATTCACAGGTATTTTAAAACATTTATATTATTTCTTATTTTTTTTATTAATATCTAATTGAAATGAGTTTGAGACGCAGTTTGACTTTTTTTAGGTATTTTAGCTGAGATACATAGATTGATATTGATTGGTTTGCTAATTTCCGATATAGAAAATAAAGACTCATGCTCAAATATATTGTGGTAACTACAGGCAAATATAGAACCCTATACTGCGCGTGGCACGTCACGCACTTGGCCGGATTTTTTTTACAGTGAACGATGTCATTTAATTATACTATAATAAAGATATAGTGGATTCAGTGTCGTGTTCATGAATTCTCTACACACAAAATATTTAAAATTTAACCGCATACCATTGAGGTCGCGATGGGGCAAGACACTGGTACCAAATTAATCGAGTTTTGAAGACGAGTTAGGTTTTATCAGGGGTCGTAAAAACTTGCGAAAGTGTACGAAGGGCCTTCCGGCTCTTTGTTCCTTCTACCCTGAACGGAAGTCGGTGTGAAAATGTGTACATTATATGTTCTCGATTTATTGTAATACTTACTTCTGAAGTTGATAAGTCTCCAAATGTCTGTATTTTACAAAATAATAAACAGAAAGTAAAACGTATATACGATTGCAGTAATGATTACAAGGAACTTAATCTCCCGCTTACGAAAAATAAGCTTGGTCTAGTTACGCTGTGTTTTGTTCTTGTCACTCAAATGCCATTTGTAATTCAATGAACAGAGACAAAACTTGGAGTAACTTATAGAAGCTTATTCTTTTATTAATAAGGGGGAATATGTAAATAGGCATTTAAATTATTTTATACTCTTTAAATACAACACTATCTAGACGGCAGTGAAATAACATCATGGAGTTATTTTTCTTTAATCAGTTTAACCAGAGCTATATCAATGTTAGTAAAATTAAATAATGTACGCTTATATTTAGAATTACCCTTTGAATATATTATTATTTTGTTTAGTATTATTAAAGTCATTTATTTATTTCGGATTTTTTTTGAGTCCATTTTTTTATTGGATCTAGTAGCCACTTTCAACCAAACTACTTTCAGGATGTGCGTTCTTTCTGTTATATATATATTGTATACAGGCTTACAAGAAAAGTCGATGTAGATATTTAGGGATATTATTATTAAGGTAATTACTGATAGATTTGACCCTATGACATACTGTAAAACCGTTTTAAATAAAATGGATTGGTGAATTTTTTTCTTGAAAAATATAATGATTTGTTCTCATTACAAGTTTATTGACTTTTATTCATCCCAATTGACATAAAATGGTAAATTTGAAACTGGGCAAGCGAGCACGGATGAAGTGACAAGGTCTTCCATTAGTTTCTGAAACACAGTTTCAGCTGCAGAGTTCCAAACAAACTTAGGAGCATTTATTCCTGAACAAGTAATTTTGTTTAAAGGAGCAGTAATTGTGCTGAAATTTGGTAAAAATCTTCGGAACTAACTACAGGTGCCAATGAATCGATGAACTTCCTTTCAAGAGAATGGTGTCGGGATTTCTAAAATAGAACGGATTTTGTAAGGGTCAGCTCTTAGTCCAAATTCATCCTCGACGAAGCTAAGATATTCGTATTCTAAAAAAAATCTAAATTTATAGTAAGGTAAGAGTTTGTGACTTAGGAGAAGAAATATATATTGTGGTAACTAACTAAATAGCCTGTGGTAACTAACTAAAATTTAACATTCATCTTCGCTTTGAAAGACATCCCTCGTTTCATCTTCACTGCTTTCACCAGCACCAACCAAGACGTCATTGCTGTATTCGAACATTACGCTTTCTTCTTCCATCTTCCTCTTTTCTTTTTCTTCTCGGGTGAAAGGTGATCATAATCTAACTCCTCTGTGTCGAGCCATCTTTTCCCTAATATGACTTTCTTCCCTTGCTTTTCAATCCTTCTAATTGTTTCCTCAAGATGGCGGTTGACTGTGGCGCTCATCCCATACGTTATTGATGAATCCTTGACAAAAGTATACAGCACACCCCCTATGTATGCGTTTCTTACTTCCCCCTCGTTTAATTGGGAACTGTTCGATTCAAGAAATCTCAATCCCACCAGTTTATTTGCCTCTATTGCTGGATGGATGATCTTGTATCCTTCTAGCATACCTTTTAAGAGTTCAGATTTACTAATCTTGTGTAGACCTTTTCCTACTTTTGTTCCATACAGCAGATAACTGTTGTGTTCAGAGCTATACATAAATACTCCATGGTCCGCAGACATATCTATGATTGTTCCCTCTGGTAATATATATGATAGCGGCCCAAAGGTTGAATTGCCTGGGTCAGCATTGCAAAAGCAGTAGATAAAGCAAATGTAGTGCCAATTTGATCGGACACTATTCAGCAATCTTACTGCAATGTTTCTTGCCATATGGGACATCTGTCTTGCCATGACTCCCAAAAATCTTCGAATATAGACATTTTTCCAAGTGAAATTTCTATCCCTTATTTTTTCTATAACCTCCGTGGAATTGTTTAAGTAGTAGTACATCTCCTTGATGGTTTCTTTTAAACTAAAACATCTTATCATTCTCATATTTTTGCAGATGATGTCTTCAGAGAATGGCACCAGACTGGTCGTTGGTATTTCAACCACTACTTTTAGTTGGGTTCCAGGAAGTAGTACGTCTAGTTTCTCATCCAATGTGACTTGAAAGCACCCGGTGGTTGTATACTCTGAATTGGGCTGAAATCTAAATTTGCCGCAGTTTTCCCCTTCTTTGAAGTTGCCTATTTTAGAGAAACTGGATATGGTGCAATCTAAGAATTTATGCGGACTCATGTCTATGAACCGTTCTATAGTACGGTCATTTTGTAGCTGGTTGTAATCATTTGTATCCTGATACCTATAACCTACATACTTTGCGATCTCCTTGAGCAATGACAGCAAATCCCTCGATGTTGTATAGTTACTATCTCTATGATCAATTGCCCGTTTTATAATACTTAAAATTCACTACCTGGTTTCCCATTTTGACCACTCTGGAGACGTTCTTTTTGTTCCACACACTTATCTCCCTCCCTTCTCTCGGATCAGGACATATTACTAGTTTCCCCCTAGTGTGCTCCAAAGTTGTAGGCCTCTCGAACAATGCTTTCAACCAGATAAATTCAATGGAGTCGTTAGCCCTTACGGATTCTAGCAGGGTAGGAAAATTTACGTTTAATATCTTGGTGGAGAGACATATTTCCTTGATTTCCTCTGTAGTTATATTTTGTATTTTACTTTCGAAGATTAGTGATGACACAAAATTCTTAAATGGAGTCATCCACAGCCTGTCATCTCTTGTTTCTTTTGTCACATAATTTATGACCACTAGATTAGCAAAATCGCGTGTTTGATGATCACAGTTGATTCTCCGCTTGACGGTAATATGGGTAGGTATCTCTCTCTCGGGTCCAATAAATTTATGAGGATTCTGATCTACTTGGTTAAAGGCATATTATCAGTTATGGCTACATCCATATGGTTTCGCAACTCTGCAATAGTTCCCGAAGTGATCCTTGGGTGTGTGCTTGAGAAGTCTGGGAAGAATATCTCCTTCAACGCAGCGGCCCGTAGATTACATGGAACTTCCACTACAGGTTTATTTGTCCTAACCAAGTCGCGTTGAAGTGTCGGTGGACCCCATTGTATCCTGGTTGCTCTCCAGTTCACTTCATAATATGCCCTGCATTGATTGTCAAGGTTCTTAAAAAGCACGTCTGCAAGCTTCTTTAACTGGCCACTGGGCACACTGCTATTTGACACCCACCAGTGGATGGTCTCTAGCTTTGCGAGAACATGATTCTGCATGTGTGAGTCCTCGATCTCCTTTTTCCCGTTTACGTACAAATAATGGTTTGGTACCCCATATTTCCGAGCTTCAGGCTTTGAAATAGCTAATGGATATTTTTGATTCAGCAATATCATTGTTGTCGCAAGGGGGTTTGGGTCTTTGGTGCATTTTGAAGATCTCTCTATCAGTTTCGTGTGATACATCTTTCTGTCGCGGATCATGTTCAGGCTTCTCTGTCTTAATCTTAATATCTCTCTTGATGCCTTAAGGAGTATTTCCTTTGTGGGATGTTGATTATGAGTTTCCATCATTAAAGCTTAGTTTTAAGAGGATCTGTTCATACTATTGGTCGAAGGTTTCAGGGGTAAATAGCTAATTTTCAACGGACACTCCTCAAATGTGAATGAACAAACAGAAAGGACAAAAATTCTGAATACGAATAATATTCAGAATTCTCGTAGTTATGAATCTGTTATATATTAACAGATTGTATTGTGCATAACATTATTTTAAATGTTTTTACAGAAATAAGACGTTTTTAATGTAGATTATACAATAATAGAATATATACGAGAAGATATAGATGAAAAAGCTGAGAATGATGTGAGATGATGTCAAATAGAAGGATCGCACCAGAGGTCAGTACAACAGATTATAGAGAACAGCCAACAGAATAGTTTACTGACCGGTGATATTGACGGTTAATAATACTTACAATAGCTCGTGCATTAAATCCAATCGCCTGCAATTTTTTAAAACGTGTAAATTATCACGATAATTAAACAAATACGAAAATAGTAAAAAAAAAAATTACCTCCGAGTCCGACAGTGTACCTGTGCACTGTTTGAAATAAATATTACTAGTAATTTTATTTCAACGCACTGAGCATGCTTTAGTCATTATTCTGAGACATAAATTATCATATGAAATCAACAATGACAGGTGCTACAACGACATTCTGATTGTAATTTTTACAAGCGGAGTTCTAGCCCGAAGCTGGCGCAGTATTCCATGTCGGTAAATTTCTATCTAACTAACACCTAAGATTACTTATGTCCTGCTTATCAATCTAATGCAAGCAATCAATGTAATCTTTATCAAAAACATTCGCGTAACAAACCGCTTCGACATCCGGAGGCAACACACCAAGAATGGCGTTCATGAAGATAATAAACAAGGTTGTGCCCAGAATACGCCAAAGTCGATCGGTAACTCATCACTTGTTATCTCATCCAATTAAACACACTGTCGCCTGCCTGTGAGGTAGTTATTATAGACCAGGATAAATAGTAATTTTTGAGAGCTAATAAAGCGCCAGTCACCGTAGAGAAACGATAAATAAACAAGGAAAAGATACATTTTTGTATACCAAAAGATGATTCTGACTATAAACTTTCTGTGATACGATGGTTCTGCTATTTAATTTGGGTGGATATTAATTTTTGCCTAAAGATAATTCTGGCTGACAAAATTATGCGTTTGAATGTTTGTTAAATGTGTGTATGCCAAATGCTTTTCTGCGAAATAAAGTTTATGACATCAGCATATAATAACATTGCATTAAATGTTCTGCGTTACAAGGTAGACCCAACAGACTTTTGCTGGGATGGGCTTCCTCACAAAACTGTGATGCGATGAGATATCCCATCGCAAGAATTTATAATGCGTATTGTTGCGACACAATTCCTTGAGACAAAAAACTGATGAGAACTATTTTACTCCAAAATACCATGGTTTGAGAGAACAGAAGAAGATAATTTGAATAAATTATGTTAGAATAAGCATATCTTTTTTTGTAGAGCTTTTGAGTTTATTATCACCATTTCTACAAAAAAACCAAGTGGGACATAATATCGCAAGAGTGCGCGATGAGAATCAGATCAGAAGTTCTTGCGGTGCATTCGTGCGAGCTCGTAAATATTTGCATTACGATGCGAATTCGCCTTTGTGTGGGATCACTATTAAACCATTAAAGCAAAAATCTTCTGATGCTAATAATTTCAAGTATTATAATTTTCCTAAATAAAATTTGCACTGCAACTATAATATAACTATTATTTTCTATATATAATATTAAAGAAATTAACTGAAAACGATACACTGCATAACTATATGAAACTTATGAATAAATAACATCAAAAAATTTAAATATTTTTCAGAAATTATAAATTAGCGAACTGGTCACTATAACAGAAGTAAACTATATTTTTTATGATTAAATTTTTATATATAAAAAACATTGACATTTAAATACGTGTATATGCATAAAGTTTCTCTTTTAAAGGTAAAAAAGACAATAAACAAACATAAACAATGAAACTAATTATAGACAATAATACTATAAAAAGGTTAGTATCCTCCCATATCCTCTTTTTTTTATAAAGCAATAAGTTTTTTTTAATAGCCGCCTTACTATGCCGCAGACTACACAATGTCCCGTCCCGCCCTGGTTTAATGCCTGTGGTACACCGCGAGGCCAGATGTCACTGGCCAAATCACCATCACCAATAAGAACTGGATTTCCGACTATAACCGAGACCGGCACCTGGTGCGTGACGTGTTGTTAACGAGGGAAATACTTCCGAAACCTATGGCGCCAGAAATGATCTGACAGGCGCAAAGCCTTTTGCCAACTGTTCTTACTTTTATGCATAGATTGGAGCTTGACACTGTTGAGTGCTGATTTTCTTGCAGGTACTTGGATACGGAAGTGCTTCGGTTTCACTGTCGTCGGCCAGGAGCCGGTGTCACGTGAGTCAGAAGTCGAGCGCTTACCTCACAGAATTTTCTAATGTAGTAGAAGTAGTCAAGGAAGAACAACATGGTACTACTACTTAATTGTCTTCGTATATCAGTTATCCATGTTAAACTTTAGCCTGGCCAATTAGCAAAATTTTTCAAAACAACTTTTTATATATACTGCCGGACACATCTATCGGCCCACTTAGTGTTATTAGTTTCAATGGTTTGGAGCAAAAATATATGTTTATGGTTGAGCAATAACTTTGAAAACACACGAAAAGGTGGTTAATAAATCAGTTTCTAAATTGCGTAGTTAATAACTTTTTGCTCAATGTAACATTTATTTTTAGCTAGGGACCGTCAAAATTTAAGATCTTAGGTGGGCCGATAGATGTGTCCGGAAGTGTATATATAGTGATTAATTTCTGATATAGTGATTGACGTATCCTTGGCAATTCAATATGCATTTGTATTCTTTGAAACACCGGTAACTTGTTTTATTTGTATAGATGCGGATATTACAGTTTTACGGAGTAGTGATTGTTTCAGAAATAATTGTTCCGATATCTTTTAAAATCTAGTTCTTTTACCTTATCAATAGGAGTTTAGAAGTTTTATTGAATCTTGATTCAATTCCATCTTGATAAAAATTATCCTTTCGTCTGGCACTCCTTCATAAACCCAGGGGTCATCCATGGCTTCAATATTGACTTAGAAGGACTAATTAGTATTTTTGTAGAATGATTGGAAATAGTGTTAGACATCCGTATGATTATTACAAATCCAATTTGACGCCTGAACTCATAGCCGATTTTTGTTCATTTTAGTATGGAGATATTGGGGACCTTGAAGTAAGACTCTTTTTGTCGCTATGCTAAACTTTAGAGTTTTAGCCAAACTTCTACACACTGTGTAATATTTGAATTTATATTATTCTGATTTTTCACTAATTAATGAAAATGAATCGTCGTTCTGGTATGAATATGAGTCTGTTATTTTTATAATACTTACATTTGCATTACAAAAATTTCCTTTGCACTGAAATCGACCACTGTAATAAATTAAGGCAATCACACAAAATAAAAATGGAAGATACGATGGCGGGATGATAAGTAACTAGCCTCGGCTATTTAAAAAGTTAAAATTAAAAAAAAAATCGTATCTCTGACCACCTGTGTTCTAAATTTGAATGTAGTGGCGCGAAAATTTTATTGATTTTTTGTCATTTGAAAATATATTTCGTCAACTGTTTTCAAAATGGATGAAATGGAACATTGAGTCCACTGTTTTGATTGAATTTTTGATTCTGGCGTGTAATGATGAACCCATGTTTCATCTGTTGTTACAAGTCAACGTAAAAAATTGGCCTTATTACTCTGAAAACGGTCCAGACATTCTTTTGAATTTTGCACCCGAATCCTTTTATGATCGTGCGTAAGCAATCGCGGCACCCAACGGACCGATAACTTTTTCATATTTAATTCCTCACTTAGGATATGATGTATCCGTTTTTTTGAGATACTTGTAGTGTTAGCTATTTCATAGTGTCATGTACTTTCACGACCATTTCCGGAGTCGTGACGCTTTTTGGACGTCTGGGGTGGGCTTCATCTTGGACACATGTACGACCGCGTTTAAACTCAGCCACCCAGTTTTTTACTGTGGCATAAGAAGAAGCACATTCACCCAAATCATTCTTTAACTCGTCATAGATATCTTTCCCCTACATGCCCTTCATATGAAGAAATTTCATCACCGATCTTTGTTCAATTTCATCCATTTTGAAAAAAGTTGACGAAATATATTTTCAAATGACAAAAAATCAATAAAATTTTCTCGCCACCAAATTCAAATTTAGAACACAGGTGGCCAGAGATACGAATTTAAAAATGACATATATATTTTTTAAATTTCAACTTTTTGAATAGCAGAGGCTAGTTACTTATCATCCCGCCCTCATCATAGCTATATTAACATTGCAAACCTTTGCTGAACAATTTCTCGTAGCTTGAGTCTAAAATAAATATGAGATATCATTTGAATTACAAATATTCGAGCAAAATTTTTTAAACAAGAAAATAAACACAATCATTAAATACCTATGTAAAAATTAATCCTAAAAATGTAAACGGTTTTTTAACACATGATATACTTACATAATCTCTGTGTATTTCTGTAGTATTCATATTATGAAGAACCTAATAAAATATTTTTAGATTTTCTATATTGTTTTCTCGAAAAACAACTTATTATAAACAAATAATATATAATAATATTTAGATATAATAGATATAATAATTATATAATAATAGATTATGTATCCATACGATTATCATAGATTCGAAACTAACTGTGCCTGTTGTCTATAACGCTTTCATATTTAAGCCGCAAGGCCTTTTAGTAATTTAGAGCTCGGTAGCGATCTAACAAAAGTTAGTTAGGCAACTTTTGCGAGAAATGGTTGAAAGATCGGGGTGACTCGGCCTTTTATAGGTCCGGAACCATTTTTTAGGCACGATTCGAATCGAACTAAAAAGAATCAAAGTAGGTGGTCTGTGGAGGTTAAAT